GACAGACAGACAGGCACAGAGAGACGGACAGACAGACAGACAGAGAGACAAGTGACAGATGGAGAGAGACAGATGAGACAGACAGACAGACAGAGGACACAGACAGATGTAGACACAGAGACAGACAGGAAGAGACAGACAGACAGAGACAGACATGTAGACACAGAGATAGAGAAGAAACAGACTCAGACAGACAGACAGACAGAGGACACAGACAGATGTAGACACAGAGACAGACAGGAAGAGATAGACAGTCAGAGACAGACATGTAGACACAGAGATAGAGAACAAACAGACTCAGATAGACAGACGCAGGCACAGACAGACAGATGGGCAGACACAGAGGAGACAGATGGACAAACAGACACAGACAGAGACAAGTGACAGATGGACAGAGACAAGAGTCACACAGACAGACAGAGACAAAAGACAGACAGGTACAGACAGAAGAGAAAAGAGACAAACAGACACAGACAGGAAGACAGACGGGGACAGACAGACAGACTGAGACAGAAGAAACCGACACAGGCACAGAGAGACAGACTGAGAAGAGACAGACAGACACAGAGAGACAGAGACATGAGGGCCAATGGACAGACAAGAGACAGAAGAGACACAGACAGACAGACATATACACAGAGACAAAGACATGAGACAGACAGACAGATGGAGACACGGAGACAGGTGGACAGAGAGAACAGACACAGACTGACAGACATGAGACTGATGGACAGACAAGAGACAGACACAGAGATGAGAGACAGAGAGACGGAGACACAGACACAGACAGGGAGAGATAGACGGACAGACAGAACAGACAGACAGATGGAGACAGGGAGAGACCGACAGAGGTAGACGGACAGACAGACAGGAAGAGACAGAGACAGAATAGACAGACAGACACAAGAGACAGACAGAGACAGAACAGAAACAGACAGACAGAGATAAGAGACAGACAGACAGGGAGACAGACAGACACAGGCAGACACAGAGACAGAGAGACAGATGTACAGACACAGAACAGATAGACACAGGGGCAGACAGACCGACAGAGAGAAGAGTCAGATACAGACAGACAGACAGTCGTCAACACAGAGACAGACATGAGACAGAGACAGACACAGTGACAGATGGAGAGAGGCAGAAGAGACAGACAGATGATCCAGGAAGACAGAGACAGACAGAAACAGACAGACAGACAGACAGAGGACACAGATGTAGACACAGAGACAGACAGACAGACACAGACTGAGACAGAAGAGACCCACACAGACAGACAGACAGATGTACACACAGAGACACACAGGAAGAGAAATGGATAGAGACAGTCACAGGCATAGACAGACAGACATAGAGACAAGAGACAGATGGACAGAGACAGAAGAGACAAAGACAGACAGACACAGTCACAGACAGACAAACTCAGCCAGGACAGATAGACAGACATAGACACAGAGACAGGAAGAGAAGGACGGACACAGGCACAGACAGACAGAGATGGACGTGAGAGAAACCGGCACAGACAGACACAGAGAGACAGACAGACAAAGAGAAGAGACAGAAGAGACAGACAGGGACAGACAGACAGATGTACACACAGAGACAGACAGGGAGAGACAGATGCACAGAGACAGACAGACAAAGACGAGACAGACAGACAGACACAAAGACAAGTGACAGATGGAAAGAGACAGACAGATGGAGCCAGGAAGACAGAGACAGACAGACAGACAGAGGACACAGACAGATGTAGAGACAGTGACAGGGAGAGACAGACGGACACAGGGACAGACAGACAGAGACAGGGACAGACAGACAGACAGAAGAGACAGACATGTAGACACAGAGACAGAGAAGAAACAGACTCAGACAGACAGACGCAGGCATAGACAGACAGATGGGCAGACAGAGGAGACAGATGGACAGACAGACACAGAGACAGGCAGGAAGGGAGATGGACAGACACGGAGAGACAGACAGGAAGAGACACAGACAGACGGACAGAGACAGGAAGACAGACGGGGACAGACAGACTGAGACAGAAGAGACACCAAGACAGACAGACAGAGACAGATGGACAGACAAACAAAAGACATACAGAGACAGACTGAGACAGAAGAGATCCAGACAGACAGATGTACACACACAGACGGACAGGAAGAGAGTCGGACAGAGACAGAGACAAGAGACAGATGGACAGAGTCAGACAGACATGAGACTGGTAGACAGACACAGGGAGAGACAGAGATAACAGACAGACAGACGTCAACACAGACAGTGATGGAACAGACAGATAGACAAGATCGATGGACAGACAAGAGACAGAGATAGAGAGACTCAGACAGACAGACGGAGATGTACAGACAGATGGAGACACAGAGACAGACAGGGAGAGACAGAACAGACAGACAGAGAGACATGAGACCAATGGACAGATAACAGACAGAGACAGAGAGACACAGACAGAGACAGACAGACAGACAGAGATAAGAGAGACAGACAGACAGACACAGAGACAGAGACACAGACAGACAGACAGGGACACAGACAGACAGATACAGACAGACAGAGATAAGAGACAGACAGAAGGAGACAGACATAAGAGACAGACACAGACAGACAGACACAGAGACAGACAGGGAGAGACAGACCAGACAGACAGACATGAGACCAATGGACAGATAACAGACAGAGAGAGAGAGGCAGACAGACAGACAGATAAGAGACAGACAGATGTCAACACAGAGACAGACAGACAGGGAGACAGACAGACACAGACAAAGACAGACAGAAAGCTAAAGACAGAGAGATAGACAAGGAGAGACAGATGGACAGCGACAGACAGAGCAGGCCTTCCCGGTCTCTTTTTCCTTGTGTCTCTAGACTTCCTGATCGTATTCCTGTTAGTTGGTGTTTTCCTTCTTCCTCTTCTGTCTCCTCCTCCTCTTCCATCTCCTCTTCCATCTTCTCTTCCATCTCCTCTTCTTCTTCCATTTCCTCTTCCTCTTCCATCTCCTCTTCCGTCTCCTCTTCCCTCTTCTCTTCCTCTTCCGTCTCCTCTTCCATCTTCTCTTCTGTCTCCTCTTCCTCTTCCATCTCCTCTTCCTCTTAGGTCTCCTCTTCTGTCTCCTCTTCCATCTCCTTTTCCTCTTCCATCTCCTCTTCCTCTCCTCTTCCTCTTCCGTCTCCTCTTCCATCTCCTCTTCCTCTTCCATCTCCTCTTCCTCTCCTCTTCCTCTTCCGTCTCCTCTTCCATCTCCTCTTCCTCTCTTCTTCCTCTTCCATCTCCTCTTCCATCTCCTCTTCCTCTCTTCTTCCTCTTCCATCTCCTCTTCCTCTTCCGTCTCCTCTTCCTCTTCCGTCTCCCCTTCTGTCTCCTCTTCCTCTTCCATCTCCTTTTCCTCTTCCATCTCCTCTTCCATCTCCTCTTCCGTCTCCTCTTCCATCTCCCCTTCCGTCTCCTCTTCCTCTTCCATCTCCTCTTCCATCTCCTCTTCTGTCTCCTCTTCCTCTTCTGTCTCGTCTTCCATCTTCTCTTCCATCTTCTCTTCCATCTCCTCTTCCATCTCCTTTTCCTCTTCCATCTCCTCTTCCGTCTCCTCCTCCGTCTCCTCTTCCGTCTCCTCTTCCATCTCCTCTTCCGTCTCCTCTTTCATCTCCTCTTCCTCTCCCGTCTCCTCTTCCATCTCCTCTACCGTCTCCTCTTCCGTCTCCTCTTCCATCTCCTCTTCTGTCTCCTCTTCCGTCTCCTCTTCCGTCTCCTCTTCCGTCTCCTCTTCCGTCTCCTCTTCCTCTCCCGTCTCCTCTTCCATCTCCTCTTCTGTCTCCTCTTCCGTCTCCTCTTCCGTCTCCTCTTCCGTCTCCTCTTCCGTCTCCTCTTCCTCTCCCGTCTCCTCTTCCATCTCCTCTTCTGTCTCCTCTTCCGTCTCCTCTTCCGTCTCCTCTTCCGTCTCCTCTTCCGTCTCCTCTTCCATCTCCTCTTCTTCTTCCATCTCCTCTTCCTCTCCTCTTCCTCTTCCGTCTCCTCTTCCATCTCCTCTTCCTCTTCTATCTCCTCTTCCATCTCCCGTCTCCTCTTCCTTTTCCATCTCCTCTTCTGTCTCCTCTTCCGTCTCCTCTTCTATCTCCTCTTCGGTCTCCTCTTCCATCTCCTCTTCCTCTTCCATCTCCTCTTCCATCTCCTCTTCCTCTTCCATCTCCTCTTCCTCTTCCCCTTCCTCTTCCTCGTGTCCATGTCCTTCTTCCTCTTCCTGTTCTTCTGATACATCTCCTTCCTCTTCCCATTCTCCTTCCTCTTCCTCCCCATTGTCTCCCTGACCCCCACAGGTCGCCTCACATCCTTGAACCTCCATCCCCGGGCCTCCAACTTCCAGCCTCCATCCCTGGCCTCCATCCTTGGGCCTCCACCCCCTTGGGCCTCCACTCCTGGCCTCCATCCCCAGCCTCCACCCCATTTGGCCTACTTTCCTCTACCCCCCTGGGCCCCTGTCCCTAGCCTCCACCCTCTTGGGCCTCCTTCCCTGGGCCTCCAACTTCCAGTCTCCATCCCCAGCCTCCACCCAATTAGGCCTCCATCCCTGGGCCTCCTTCTCTGGCCTCCAACTTCCTGTCTCCATCCTCAGCCTCTACCTCTGTCCTCCACCTTCCTGGACCTCCATCCCCAGCCTCCATACCTGGCCTCTAACCCCTAGGCCCCCATCCCTGGGCCTCCACTTCCCCTAGGCCTCCATCCCTGGGCCTCCACCCCCTGGGCCTCCAACTTCCAGTCTCCTTCCTCAGCCTCCACCCCTGGCCTCCACCCCGTTGGACCTCCATCCCCAGCCTCCACCCTGGCCTCTAATCCCTAGGCCTCCTTCCCTGGGCCTCCAACTTCCAGCCTCCATTTCCCTGGGCCTCCACCCCTGGGCCTCCATCCCCAGCCTCCCCCCCTCCATCCCAGCCCCAGGATGGGGGGCCCCCACCGCTGGGCCTCGCTGCTGCTGCTGCTGCTGCTCCTGTGCGGCCCCCACCCAGCCCCCGCCACCCGCTGCCCCAGGACCTGCGCCTGCTACGTCCCCACCGAACTCCACTGCACCTTCCGCAGCCTCAGGGCCGTGCCCCACATGCTGGACCCCAAGATGGAGCGCGTGAACCTGGGGTGAGGCCTGGGGAGGGGAAAGGGGGGAAGGAAGGGAAGGAAGAGTAAGGAAGGAAGGAAAGAAGGAAGGAAGGAAGGAAGGAGGGAAGGAAGGAGGGAAGGAGGGAAGGAAGGAGGATGGAGGGAAGGAAGGAAGGATGGAAGGAAGGAAGGAAGGAGGGAAGGAAAGAAGGAAGGAAGGAGGGAAGGAAGGAGGGAGGGAGGGAAGGAAGGAAGGAAGGAGGGAAGGATGGAAGGAAGGAAGGAGGTAGAGAAGGAAGGAAGGAAGGAAGGAGGGAAGGAAAGAGGGAAGGAAGGAAGGAGGGAAGGAGGGAGGGAAGGAAGGAAGGAGGGAGGGAAGGAAGGAAGGAAGCAAGGGAGGAAAGGAAGGAAGGCAGGAAGGAAGATGATGATGAGTAATGATTCATTATTCTTGACCCTGACCCGGAAACAAAAGTCCTGCCCTCCCAGCGCTGGTTTTCAGGCTGTTTTCCTGATTTCCTCTTCCTGTCCTCTCGCCTGTTGAATTAGGTTCAACCACATCCGGGTCCTGACGCACGCTTCCTTCCCCGGTCTTGCGAGACTTCAGCTGCTGCTGCTGCACGGAAACGAGATCGCAGACATCGCCGAGGGCGCCCTGAGCGACCTGGGCGCACTGCAGGTGCGCAGGGAGCGGGCGGAAGTGGGGCGGAATTGGAAGGAAGTGGAAGGAAGTTTGGTAGGAAGTGGGGCAGAAATATGCAGTGAAGTGGGACAAAGTAGGGGAAGAAGTGGGGCGGAAGTTTGAGGAAATAGATACGGAAGTGGGAGGAAGTAGGGCCGGAAGTGGGAAGGAAGTTGGAGGAAGAAGGAAGTGGGAAAAGAGTAGGGAGGAAGGAGGGGAGAAATGCGGAGGAAGACAGGCAGAAATGGGGATCAAATAGCAAAGGAAGTGGGGAGGAAGTAGGGAATCAATGGAGGAAGTAGAGACGGACATGGGAGGAAGTCGGGGGCAGAAGGGAGGCGGAAGTGAGACGGAAATGGATAAGGACCTGGGAAGAAGTAGGGCTGGAAGTGTAGCCAGATGTTGAGTGGAAATAGGGAAGGAAGTGGAGCGGAAGTGGGTCGGAAGTAGTGAGGATATGGATCTGGAAGTGGAAGTAGGGCCGGAAGTGGGGTGGAAATCGGGAAGTAGGGAGGAAGTGTGAGGAAGTAGGGGTGAAAATAAGCCGGAAGTGGGAGGAACTAGGGGCGGAAGTGGTTAGGATATGGTTCCGGAAGTGAGAAGTGGGGTGGAAATAGGGAAGGAAGTGGGGAGGAAGCAGGACGAAGTAGGGGCGGAAGGCGGAAGTGGGGCGGAAGTGGTGAGGATATGGATCCGGAAGTGGAGTGAAAATAGGGAAGGAAGTGGGGAGGAAGTGGGGGTAGAAGTGACCCAGAAGTGGGGAATGACATATAGTTGGAAGTGGGGAAGAAAGTGGAAATAGGACCATGGATAGGACCGGAAGTGGGGCAGAAATAAGGAAGGAAATGGGCAGGAAGTGGGAGGAAGTCGGGGCTGAAGTGAGGTGGAAGTGAGCTGGAAGTGGGGCAGAAGTGGTGAGGATCTGGATCTGGAAGTGACAGAAAGTAGGGCCGTAACTGGCCGGAAGTGCGGAGGAACTTGGAGGAAGTAGAGGCGGAAGTCAGCCGGAAGTGGGGAGGAAGTGACCCGGAACTGGGGCGGAAGTGAGTTGGAAGTAGGGAGGAAGTGAGAATGGGGCAGAAGTGGGACCGGAAGAAGTGAGGAAATATACTCGGAAGTGGGAGGAAGTAGAGGCAGAAGTCGGGAGAAGTAAGCCGGACGTGGAGCAGAAGTGTGACAGGAAGTGGTACGGAAGTAGGGTGGAAGTGAGACCGGAAGTGGGGCGGAAGTGACCCCGAAGTTGCCCTTCGGATCCCAGAAACGCCCCCTTTCACCCCCACAGGTGCTGAAGCTGAGCTACAACCAGCTTCGGGCACTGCGCACGGGCTCCCTGCGGGGCCTGCGGCGCCTGTCCCGGCTGTACCTGGACCACAACCGGCTGGAGTCGGTGCCCCCGCGGGCACTGCTGGGGCTGGCGTCGCTGCGGCTGCTGCGTCTGGACGGGAACCAGCTGGCGGCGCTGGCGCCCGAGGCGTTGGCCACGCTGCGCGTGCGCGGGGTCCCGGCCTGCACGCTGCGCGTGCTGCACCTGGCTGGGAACCACCTGGCTGCGCTGCCCGCCGGCACCCTGGCCCAGGCACCCGCGCTGCGCGCGCTGCACCTGCAGGGTAACCCCTGGGCCTGCGGTTGCCGTGCGCGCTGGATGGAGGACCTGGAGGGGCGGGGCCGAGGTGAGCAGAGGGGGCGTGGTCAAGCGCAGGCCAATGAGAGGGCCGGGCGGGGCTGAGGCGATGCAGAGAGGGGGCGTGGCCGAACTACAGCCAGTGAGAAAGGATGGGGGCGTGGCTGGGCGTAAGTGAGTAGCCGAGTTCCCCCAGTCACGCGGGGCGGAGGCGTGGCCGAGGCGCCCAGGGGGGCGTGGCCTAGCTCCAGCCAGTAAAAAACGGCAGCAGCGTGGCTGGGCGTGGCTGGGCATTAGTGAGGAGCTGCAGGGGGCGTGGCCAAGGTCTAGCCACTTAGGAGGGGCAGGGACGTTGCTGAGGCTCCACAGGGAGGGTATGGCCCAGCTTTAGCCACTCAGGCAGGGTGAGGGTAAGGCTAAGGCTCCACGGGGGGGCGTGGCCGAGGTCCAGCCAGTCAGGCGAGGCGGGGGCGTGGCTGAGAACCCCCAGGAGGGGCGTGGCCGAGCTCCAGCCAGTCAGGCGCGACGGGAGCGTGGCCGAGGCTCCCCAGGGGGGCGTGTCCCATGTCAGCCCCGCCCTTCTCCCATCCCCCCCTGCAGGCGTGCTGCGCTGTGGGAAGGAACAGGCGTGCGCGGCCTGCGCCAGCCCCGCCGCCCGCCACGGCTTGCACCTGCGTCGCCTGCCTCCACGCATGCGTTGTCGCCCGCCGCGCATCCTCACCAGCCCGGCAGACGGCGAGGAGCCGCTGGAAGCGGAAGTGGAGGCGGAGGAAGAGGAAGTGGAGGACAGGGAGGAGGTGGGCGAGGTGCGGCTGAGGCTGACAGACGCCCGTGGCCGCGCCGCCGGCCTTACCTGCCGCCTGCGGCGCGCGCCCAGCGTGCGCGACCTCGACGTGCGGCCCGGCCCCGCCCCCGATGTCCCTGTGCACGTGCGCCTGACGCTCAGCGCCGCCCTCGCCTGCTACGCCGACCCTGCCCACCTCGCACATGCCCGCCGCCTGCTGGGAGGCGATGACGACACTGATGATGTCGCGCTGATGCTGCGCTGGGACCCGGAGGCGCCGGGCCACGCCCACGCAGATAGGGACCCGGGAGATGGATCCGGGGAAGGCCACGCCCAACCCTCGGGTGGAGACGCTGATGGGGATGAGCTGTATCAGGACAGGGACCCAGATGTAGGCCATGCCCACCGTCAGGGCGGAGACCCGGATGTGGACCATATGTATCAGGCCGCAGACTCGGATGTAGGCCATGCCCACCATCGAACCAGGAACCCTGATATAGGCCATGTCCACCAGGGAGCCAGAGACCCTGATGTAGGCCCTGCCCACGCTCAGGACAGAGACCCGGTTGTAGGCCACACCCATCTGCAGGACAAATACCCGGATGTAGGCTATATGTATCAAGCCCAAGACCCGGATGTAGGCCCCTCCCACCAGCAGGACAGACACCCGGATGTAGGCCCCGCCTACAAGCATGCCAGACACCCGGATGTAGGCCATGAGTATGATCAGGACGTAGGCCCCGCCCACCCTCAGGACAGAGACCCGGATATCAATGACCCAGATGAGGGCCCCGCCCACCCTGAGGACAGAGACCAGGATGGAGGCCACGCCCACCCTGAGGCTAGAGACCTGGATGTCCATGACATGGATGAGGGCCCTGCCCACCCTGAGGACAGAGACCCTGATGTCAATGACCCAGATGAGGGCCCCGCCCACTCTGAGGACAGAGACCCGGATGTAGGCCCCAGGTATGACCAGGATGGAGGCCACGCCCACCCTGAGGCCAGTTTCCCGGATGTCCATGACCTGGATGTGGGCAAGGCCTACCGCCTGGTGCACGGCCCTGGCGCGTCGTCATCGTCGCCAACGTCACTTCCAGGTGTGGTGGCCCGGCTGTGGGCGCGGCCAGCCTGGCTGCTGCAGCCCGAGCTGACGCTGCGCTGGGCTGGGCTGCGTGGGCCACGCATGCGTCTGACGTGGACGGCGTGCGTGCGTGGCCCCGAGGACCCGGAGGACGCACCCTGGGTGACCCTCGACCCCCGTGATGACCCTGATGACGTGCACGTGGTGACCCCGGGGCAGACGCTGCGGCTGCGCTGTGCGGCGCAGGGCTCGGAAACACCACGCATGGCCTGGACGCGGCCCGACGGCTCCATCCTCCGGGGCGATGAGGATGGCGGCCATGATGGGGGGACAACACTGGAGATCCACAGGATGCGCCAGGCCGACGCTGGCTGGTACCGCTGCGAGGCCCGCGTGGGGCGCCGCGGGGAAACCAAGGCACGGCGCGTGGCCTATGGCGGGGACGGAGCCACGGGGTCCGGGGCCTACGCGGAGGAGGAAGCCATGGAATCCGAGGCCTATGGTGTGAATGAAGCCACAGGATCTGAGGCCTACACTGAGGAGAAAGCCAAAGGATCCAGTGCCTATGGCTCAGATGAAGCCATGAAATCCGAGGCCTACACTGAGGAAAAAGCCACGAAATCTGAGACCTATGGTGAAGAAAAAGCCTACGCTGTGAATGAAGCCATAGAATCCGAGGCCTATGGTGCAAATAAAGCCATAGAATCCGAGGCCTTCGCTGAGGAAAAAGCCATAGGATCTGAGGCCGACACTGAGGAGAAAGCCACAAGCCCCGCAGCCTACACCCTGTCTGAAGCCACGGACCCCGCGGCCTACATCAGCTTTGAAGCCACAGCCCCCACGGCCTCCGCCCCTTCTGAAGCCACAGCCCCTGCGGCCTACACCCCGTCTGCAGCCCCGGGCCCTGCGGCCTACGGTGGCTTTGAGTCCGCCATGGCGGGCCGGGCACAGCGCGTGTTCGTGGTGGCGTCTCGGGCGCCAGCGGCCACGGATCTGGAACTGCCTGCGGGCGTCGCGCTGCGGCTGGGCTGTCGGGCGGAGGCGGAGCCGGCGGCGCGCGTGGGCTGGCTTCTGCCGGGCGGGCGCTGGGCCTGGGCGGGGACGGAGCTGGGGACGGACGGGGTCGGGGTTGGGGCGGACGGGACGCTGACGCTTCCCACGCTGGGCCCACGGCACGCCGGGCGCTATGTGTGCGTGGCCGCCAACGCGCTGGGGCTGGCGCGCTGGGACGCCGACGTCAGCGTGGGTGGGGCGGCGGGGGGCAAGATGGCGGGAGACAAGATGGCGGAATCAAAGATGGAAGAATCCAAGATGGCGGAAAGCAAGATGGCCAAAAACAAGATGGCAGAATCAAAGACGAAAGGCAACAAGATGGTGGAAAACAAGATGGAGGGAATTAAGATGGTGGATTCCAAGATGGTGGACACCAAGATGGTGGAATCCAAAATGGAGGGAAGCAAGATGGCCGAAAACATGACGGAATCTAACATGCCCGACGCCAACATGGCGGATTCCAAGATGGCCAAAAACAAGATGGTGGACACCAAGATGGAGGGAACCAAGATGGCGGAATCCAAGATGGAAGGAAACAAAATGGCGGAAGCCAAGATTGCAGAATCCAAGATGGAGGGAACTAAGATGGCGGAAGCCAAGATGGACGAAACGAAGATGGCAGATGCCAAGATGGCGGAATCAAACATGGGGAGAAACAAGATGGAGGAATCCAAGATGGAGGGAACCAAGATGGCCGAAAACATGGTGGAATCCAACATGGCCGACACCAACATGGCGGATTCCAAGATGGTGGACGCCAAGATGGCGGAATCCAAAATGGAGGGAAACAAGATCAGGGAAAGCAACATGGCAGAATCCAAGATGGAAGGAATCAAGATGGCGGAAAACAAGATGGAAGGAATAAAGATGGCCGAAAACAAGGTGGTGGAATCAAAGATGGAGGGAACCAACATGGCGGAATCCAAGATGGAGGAATCCAAGATGGAGGGAATTAAGATGGCAGATTCCAAGATGGTGGAGGCCAAGATGGCTGATTCAAAAATGGCGGATTCCAAGATGGCGGGTGCCGCTGCGGAAGCGGCTGCAGGGGCGACGCGCGGTGCTGACGTCATTGTTGGTGTGCCAAGCTTGGGCCCGGGCACCGGGGAAGCATGGCTGTGGCGTCGGCGTCCTGCGGGCGGCCCCGGGCGCGGGCAGCAGCGGCGTCCGCCGCCTCCTCATCTCCCTCCCATCCCGCGTGCTGCCCCCGCCGGCCGCGGGTTCGAGCCCGCCTTGCCACGCCGCCCGCGCCCACCAGTGGCTGCCGAGCACATCCAGCCCGAGCACTGGGCGCGCATCCTGGCGCATGTTCGCGGCCGCGCCACAGGCGACTTCCGGGCCCCGCCCGCCCTGCTTCCGGTCTCCACGGAGACCTCCCCGCTTCCGGCGTCCACACTTCCGGTTTCGACACAAATATCCCCACTTCCGGTCTCTGTGTCTTCCGCCGACCCACTTCTGGTCTCCACTCGGACCTCACCACTTCCGGTCTCCACTCAGACCACCCCACTTCTGGTCTCCACACTGCCGGTTTCCACTCGAACATCACCACTTCCTGTCTTCACTACTTCCGCCTACCCACTTCCGCTCTCCCCACGGACCTCCCCACTTCCAGTCTCCACTCGGACCCCCGCACTTCCTGCTTCCACACTTCCAGTTTCCACTCGAAAATTCCTACTTCCGGTCTCCACTGGGACCACCCCACTTCCGGCTTCCACACTTCCGGTTTTGTCTCGAACATCCCCACTTCTGGGCTCCACTCGCAGATCTACACTTCCGGTCTCCACGCGGAGATCCCCACTTCCGGTCTCCATTCGGACCACCCCACTTCCTGTTTCCCCACTTCCGGTTTCCACTCAGAAATCCCCACTTCCGGCCTCCACTACTTCGGCCTACCCACTTCCGTTTTCGACTGAGAGATCCCCACTTCCGACTTCCACACCTCCGGTTTCCCCACAGACCTCCCCACTTCCGGTCTCCAGTCAGACCACCCCACTTCCGGTTACCACTCGGAGATCCCCACTTCTGACTTCCACACTTCCGGTCTCCCCATGGACCTCTCCACTTCCGGTTTCGACACGGACATCCCCACTTCCGGCCTCCACCCCTCGAGCATCCACTGCTCCGACCTCTGCACTTCCGTCCTCCTCACTTCCGGCCTCCTTACTTCCGGCTCCCAGGAGGCCTGGCGGCGGCCGCAGGCAGGGGCGACAGCACAAAGCTCACCGCGCCCGGCCGGGCCCCACGGTGAACCCCCGTGACCCCGTGGTCACGACCCTGCATGGCCGTGCCCCGGATGTCCTCCCTTCCCATCCTGCGGCTTCCCCCGATGGTGACCCGGGGACCTTTGACCCGCGACCCCCGGCCCCGCCCGCCGTGACCCCGCCCCGTGGCGTCTGGAACGAGCTGGACACGGGTGAGCCTCAGTTTACCCATCTGTCTCCTGCAGGCTCTTGGCGTGGGGGCGGGGGACTGAGGGGAGCCAGATAGGAGGTGGAGGTAAGAGGTCACAGGGAGGATACAATACGGTCAGAGGTCATGGGGAGGTTAGGGGTCACTGGGGGTCAGAGGTCACAGGGAAGCCAGGGGTCACAGTAGGGTCAGCGGTTGCAGAGAGGTCAGAGGTCATGGAGAGGTCACGGGGAGGTGAGAGGCCATGGGCAGGTGAGAAGAGGATGGGAGGTCAAAGGTCATGGGGAACTCAGGGGTCATGGAGAGTTCACGGGGAGGTCTCGGGAGGGTCACTGGGAGGTCAGAGGTCATGGGGAAGCCAGGAGTCACAGGAGGTCAGAGGTCACAGAGTAGTCAGAGGTCATGGAGAGGTCACAGGGAGGTCGGGTCACTGGGAGGGCAGAGGGCATGGACAGGTCAGAGGGCATGGGGAGGGGAGGGGCGAAGTCCTTTACTCTGTCTGTCTGTCTGTTGTCTGTGTTCCTGGCTGTGTGGGGCACAGGATGACTGGGGAGACAAACACACACGCACAGACAGACAGACAGACAGACATAGAGCAGACAGATAGATAGAGGGACGGATGGATAGACAGACAGACAGACAGATAGGTGGATAGACGGATGAATGGACGGATAGACAGAGCCATAGAGAGACAGACAGACAGATGGACAGAAGGACGGATAGACAGGTAGACAGACAGTAGACAGACAGATGGACAGATAGATAGACAGATAGACTGATAGATAGATAGATAAACAAATGGACGGATAGACAGAGCCATAGACAGACAGACAGAGAGATACATGGACAGATGAATGGAGAGACAGACAGACATGGAAACATACATGGTTGGATGGATGGATAGATAGGTAGACAGACAGACAGCTGGATGGATAGATAGACAGACCAATGGACAGATAGACAGACAGAGCCATAGACAAAGAGATAGATGGACAGATGGATGGGTAGACAGACAGACAGACTGATGGATGTATAGACAGATAGGTAGACAGACACCAGACAGACAGATGGATACAGAGACAAGTAGACAGATGGACGGACAGAAGGACGGATAGACAGGTAGACAGATAGTAGATAGATAGAAGGACAGATGGACAGATAGATAGGTAGACAGACAGACAGATAAACCAATGGACAGATAGACAGAGCCATAGAGAGACAGACAGACAGAGAGATACATGGACTGATGGACGGATAAACAGACAGATAGACTGATGGACGATAGACAGAGCCGTAGACAGACAGATACCAGAGACATGGACAGATAGATAGAAAGAGACAGACAGACAGACCGACCAATGGAAGGATGGACAGACAGAGCCATAGAGAGACAGACAGACAGACAGAGAGATACATGGACAGATGGACGGATAGACAGACAGACAGATAGAAACATACATGGTTGGATGGATGGATAGGTAGACAGACAGACAGACAGACAGACAGATAGATAGACAGACAGACAGACAGACCAATGGACGGATAGACAGAGCCATAGAGACAGATAGACAGAAGAATGGATGGAGAGACGAACAGATGGACAGATGAACAGATGGATAGATGGACCAATGGACAGATAGACAGACAGAGGTATACACAGTCAGAGAGACAGATGGACAGATGGATGGATAGACAGACGGGTGGATGGATGGATGGATTGAAAGAGATAACATGGACAGGTGGGTGGGTAGACAGACGGACGGACCGATGGATGTATAGACAGATAGGTAGACAGACACCAGACAGACAGGCAGACAGATAGATAGAGAGACAGGTGGACAGACAGATGGACAGATAGCTAGATGGATGGACCAGTGGACAAATAGACAGAATCATAGATAGACAGAGCAATGGACAGATAGACAAACAGAGCCATAGACAGAGAGAGAGAGAGAGAGAGATGGACGGAAGGAAGGATACACAGATAGGTAGACAGTAAGACAGTAGATAGATGGATGGACAGATGAATGGACAGACAGATACATGGGTGGACGGAGCGACACAGACACATGGACAGATAGACGGATGGACTGATGGATGGATAGACAGATGGACAGACAGAGGGACAGAGGGACAGACAGATGGACAGACAGAGGGACAGAGAGACAGAGGGACAGACAGATGGACAGAGAAACGGATGGACAGACAGATGGACTGACGGACGGACAAGTAGACAGACGAACAGACAGACTGACAGAGACAGACAGACAGAGGGACAGACAGACATAGACTGACAGACAGATGGATAGACAGACAGACAGAGAGATGGACAGAGAAACGGACGGACAGACAGATGGACAGATGGACGGACAAGTAGACGAACAGACAGACTGACAGAGACAGACAGACAGAGGGACAGACAGACAGACATAGACAGACTGACAGACAGATGGATAGACGGACGGAGATGGACAGCCGGACGGACAGACAGACAGAGGGACAGAGCACTGTCTCCGACCAGCACAGGGACTCTTATCCAACACCCTGTCCCTCTGCCCCTCCCTCCGTCCGTCTGTCCATCCCCAGGCGTGGAGCTGACCCCGGCGGCGCCCGACACGCGTGGAACGGACACGAGTGGATCTGACTCTGGCACGATGGACACGCTTGGAAATGTCACGCGTGGATCTGAAACTCACACGATGGTCACACGTGTAAATATCACTCGTGAAAGGGACACGATCACATCCCTTCCACACTCACCTGATACACATGAAGCGCGCATGCGTGGCTCTGACACACGTGGAAATGTCATGCACGCCTCCCCCGCTCCCCCCGTGCTGCGCGAGGCGCCCACGGAGTTCGTGTCGGCCCACGCGGGCCTCACCCTGCACCTGCCCTGCACAGCCCAGGCCTGGCCCCCTGTGGCCCTGCACTGGCGTCTGCCTGACGGGACCCACGCGAGACCCGTGCATGCGCACACGCACCCTCGACTCAGTGACGTCTACGTCCTCCCCAATGGCACGCTGGTGCTGCGCCGCCTGCAGGCCCCGCGCCATGCCGGTGAGTACGAGTGCGTGGCCGCCAACGCGCTGAGCAGCGCGAGACGCACTGTGCACGTCGAAGTCACGCCCGCGCCCGCGCGTCTCCCCCCCAGCGTCCGACCCCGAGGCCCGCTCGCCACGCGCGTGCCCCACGGCGCTGACCTCACGCTGCACTGCCACGCGCGCGGGGATCCCGCCCCACGCGTGTTCTGGAGGCTGCCAGACGGGCACCTGGTGGATGCTGGGAGCAGGTGAGTGTGGGAAGTGGGGGGCATCCATCCATCCATTCACCCGTTCATCTACCCATCCATACATCCATCCATCCACTCATCCATCCACCCATCCATCCATCCACCCATCCATCCATCCACCCACCCACCCATCCATCCACCCACCCATCCATCCATTCATCTACCCATCCATCCATCCACCCATCCACCCTTCCATCCATCCATCCACCCACCCATCCATCCATCCATCCACCCATCCATTCATCCCTCCATCTACCCACCCATCCACCCATCCATCCATCCCTCCATCCATCCATCCATCCACCCATCCACTCATCCATCCATCCACCCATCCATCCATCCATCCCTCCATCCGTCCACCCATCCACTCATCCATCCACCCACCCATTCATCCACCCACCCATCCATCGATCCACCCATCGATCCATCCATCTACCCATCCATCCACCCATCCATCCATCCACCCATCCATCCACCCATCCATCCATCCACCCATCCATCCACTCATCCATCCACCCATCCATCCATCCATCCATCCACCCATCCATCTATCCACCCATAGTTGGGATAAAGATGATACCCCTTGATAGATAGTTAATTGATAGAGGATGGATTAGACAGATGATGTAGACACAGTAGACCATAGATAACAAATCGATTATCCATTAAATATTGATAGAGATGAGGTGGGGATGGTAGATCCATTAGCAGTGAATAGGTAATTGATAGGTCCTGGCTTGCCAGATCGCAAGGTAGAACCCTAGTGATCGATCATTGATAGATGATCGGTCAGGGATCGATACAAGATGAGTATTGGATGCATATGTCACATGTGCGAATAACTAACATTGGCTTCAAATTTGTCTTCCCTTCCTTATGGTCTTTCCTCCTATTACTTCCTTCCCTCCTTCCTTCCTTCCTTCCCTCCTTTCTTCCTTCCTTCCCTTATTCCTTCCTTCCCTCCTTCCCTTCTTCCTTCCTTCCCTCCGATCCTTCCTTCCTTCCCTCCAAGCTTTCCTTCCTTCCCTCCAATCCTTCCTTCCAATCCTTCCCTCCAACCTCCCTTCCCTACATTCCCTCCTTCCCTCCAATCCTTCTATCCTTCCTTCCCTCCAATCCTTCGTTCCTTCCCTCCAATCCTTCCATCCTTCCTTCCCTCCAATCCTTCCTTCCCTCCCTCCAATCCTTCCTTCCTTCCCTCCCTCCAATCCTTCCTTCCTTCCTTCCAATCCTTCCTTCCTTCCTTCCCTCCAATCCTTCCTTACTTCCCTCCAATCCTTCCATCTTTCCTTCCGAGCAATCCTTCCAATCCTTCCCTCCAATCCTTCCTTCCCTCCTTCCTTCCCTACATTCTCTCCTTCCTTCCCTCCAATCCTTCCTTTACCCTTCCCTCCTTCCTTCCCTCCTTCCTTCCTTCCTTCCTTCCTTCCTTCCTTCCTTCCTTCCTTCCTTCCTTCCTTCCTTCCTTCCTGCCCTCCCTTCCCCTCCCCTCCCCAGCTCTGACATCCGGGTCCGCGCCTTTTCCAACGGCACGCTCTCCGTGCGTCCGGTGACGTCACGTGATGCGGGGGAGTACGTGTGCGTGGCGCGCAACGCGGCGGGCGACGCGCATGCACGGCTGCGCGTGGAGTTGATGGCTGGGCCAGGTGCCTCCTATCTGCAACCCGGGCTTCCCGTGACCCCCGTGACCCCCGTGACCCAGGACGCCGACCCCAGGGAGGACTGCACTGCCTACCACCGCCTCCAGGTCCCATCCGGTGTCCTGGGAGACCCGGATGTTCGGGTCGCGAGGCCTGATGGGAGTGTGGGGAACTGGGACCTGGGGCCTGGGTTAGACCTCGGATGTGTGACCACAGCTGGGGGGGCGGGGCCTGGGGCGGGTTCTTCCTCTTCCTCTCAGTCACTTCCGTCTTCCTCTTCCTCTTCATTTCCTGTTTCCTCTTCCTTTCCTTCTTCCTCTTCCTCTCCATCTCTTCCTTCCTCTTCCTCTCACCATCCTTCATCTTCTTCCTTTTCCTCTGCTTCCTCTTCTTCTTTTCCTTCTTCCTCTTCCTTTCCTTCTTCCTCTCATCCCTTCCTGTTCTCTTCCTCTCAATCTCTTCCTTCTTCTTCTTCTTCCTTTCCTTCCTCTTCCTCTTCTCAGTCTCTTCCTTCTTCCTCTTCTTCCTTTCCTTCCTCTTCCTCTTCTTCACATTCTTTTCCTGCTTCCTCTTCCTTTCCTTCCTCTTCCTCTTCTCAGTCTCTTCCTTCTTCCTCTTCTTCACATTCTTTTCCTGCTTCCTCTTCCTTTCCTTCTTCTTCCTCTTCTCCATCTCTTCCTGCTTCCTCTCATGTTTCTTCTTCCTCTTCCTTTCCTTCTTCCTCTTCTTCCTCTTCCTTTCAGCCTCTTCCTTCTTCCTCTTCATTTTCTGTTTCCTCTTCCTCTTCACTTCCTGGTTACTCTTCACTTCCTGGTTCCCCTTCACTTCCTGCTTCACTTCCGGCTTCCTCTTCCTCTCCCACTTCCACCCTGCTGCCCCCTGAGCTCTCCGTCCCCTACGGCGCCCCAGTGACCCTCACGTGCCCAGTGACGCGAGGGTCGCGCGCGGTGACGTGGCTGACGCCGGCCTTGCGCCCCATGGCCTTCACTTCCGGCCCGGAGGACGCCCACTTCCGGGTGCTGCCGGACGGGCGTCTGCGCCTGCGCGGGGTGCGGCGGGCCGACGCAGGCACGTACACGTGCGTGGCGGGGCGGGGCTGGCGCGCCACTGTGCGCCTACACGTGCAGCTGCGGGCGCCGCGCATCCGGGTCACGCCTGACGTCCATGACGACGTGAACGACGACATCCGGGTCTCCCCCGTGGTGCGTCTGCGCGTGCGCTGCCAGGCGGATGGCGTCCCCGAGCCCCGCCTGCTGTGGGAACTTCCGGGTGGGCTGGTACTTCCAGTCCCGTATCGCAGTCGCACGGGGGGAGGGATCAGCGTGGATGCGCACGGGACGTTGGAAATCCCGGATGTGCGTGCGCTGCACAGCGGTGGCAGCGATGCCGTGGTGTGCGTGGCGCGCAACCCAGCGGGCGAAGCCCGGATGTGGGTGCGGCTGCCGCCATGGTGGGTGCGGGCTCTCCCCCCTGCGGCGTCGGCTCCGCCCTCTGAGGCGTTGACTCTGCCCCCTGTTGCGCCGGCTCCGCCCCATCACGCACCTGCCCCGCCATCTTGGGCGCTGACTCCGCCCCCTGGTGCGCTGGCTCCGCCCTCTGAGGCAGCTCCGCCCCCTGGCCCGCCTGCCCCGCCATCTTGGGCGCTGACTGCACCCCCTGACGCACCGACTCTGCCCTCTGAGGCGCTGACTCCACCCCCTGGGGCGGCGCCGGGGGCGGCGCTGCGTGTGGTGCTGGGCGGCAGCTTCCGGCTGCGCTGCCCCACCTCCACGCTTCCGGTGTCCTGGCGCCTGCCCGGGGGGCTGGTGCTGCGTGGGCCGCAGAGGCATGGCCGCTTCACGTTGGGCGCCGACGGCAGCCTGGAGGTGCGCGCCGCCTCCGAGCGCGACCGCGGCGCCTACGTCTGCCACGCCCACCCCGGGGCGCCGCCCAGACACGACCCCCGTGTGCCAGAGACCCGGATGTTCAGCTTCATTCCCGCCACTAGGCCGCTGGGTGCCATGGCAGGGCAACGGACTGAGGAGACCCTGATGTGGGGCTTCATTCCCGCCGGTAGGCCGCGGCGTTCGGTTGCCGGGCAACCAAGTGAAGATACCAGGACATTGGGCTCCACCGCAGCGTCTAGGCCTCTGTGTTCGGTTGCCAGGCAACAGACCGAGAAGACCCGGATGTGGGGCTTCATTCCTGCCTTTAGGCCGCTGGGTTCGGTTGCCGGGAAAGTGCGTGAGACCCGGATGTCCGGCTCCAGCAAGACTCCTGGGCCCCAGCCGGAAGATGACCGGATGTGGGGCTCCAAACCTGCATGTGCTGTACAGAAGCTGCAGTCCGACCAGAGGCCACGGAGAGGCTAGGACCCGGATGTGGACTGGGAGGGACCCGGATGTGGACTGGGAAAGACCCAGATGTCACCTATCTCTGGGTCCACTGAGGTGCCAGGACCCAGATGTGAACTGGGAGAAACCCGGATGTCACCTATCTCCGGGTCCACTGAGGGGCCAGGACCCGGATGTGGACTAGAAGGGACCCGGATGTCACTTTTTTCCATGTCCACTGACCCGGATGTGGCATGGAGAAACCGGATGTCACTTTCCTCCAGATGCACTGATGGGTCAGGATCCGGATGTGGACTAGGAGGGACCCGGATGTCACCTTCCTTCATGTCCACTGAGGGGCCAGTACACGGATGTGGACTGGGAGGGACCCGGATGTCTCCCTCATTTGTGTCCACTGACCCAGATGTGGCCTGGGGAACCCGGATGTCACTTATCTCCAGGTCCACTGAAGGGCCAGGACCCGGATGTGGACTGGGGGACCCGGATGTCACCCTCCTCCGTGTCCACTCTCCCGGATGTGGCGTCAGGGACCCAGATGTCACTTATCTCCAGGTCCACTGAGGGGCCAGGACCCGGATGTGGACTGGGGGACCCGGATGTCACCTATCTCCAGGTCCACTGAGGGGCCAGGACCCGGATGTTGCATGGGGAACCCGGATGTTATGTAAGTCCACGTCCATTAACCTGGATGTGGACTGTGGCAGGGACCCAGATATGTGCTGGGCAGGACCCGGATATCACATCCACAGGCCTGGCTGTGGCGTGTGGAGTCCCGGATGTCATGCTCCTCTCCTTCCACTGACAGGGTCTAGGACCCAGATGTGGTGTGGGGATCCCGGATGTCAGGTCCCTCCACATCCACTGAGGGTCCAGGACCAAGATGTGGAATGGGAACTACCCAGATGTTAGGGACCTCCAGGTCCATGAACCTGGATGTGGGGTGAGTACCCAGATGTTAGGGACCTCCAGGTCCATGAACCTGGATGTGGGGTGAGTACCCAGATGTTAGGGACCTCCAGGTCCGTGAACCCGTATGTGGGGTCGGTACCCAGATGTTAGGGATCTCCAGGTACGGGAACCCAGATGTGGAGGCGAGTACCAGGATGTTACTTAACTCCAGGTCCACTGGCAGGCGCCAGGACCCGGATGTGAGGGGTTTGGACCCGGATGTGAGGGTTGGGACCCAGATGTGAGGGGTTGAGAGAGGTGGAACCCAGATGTGGGCGGAGCGGGCACTCCACACCTTGGCCCCGGGCTCCAGCTGCGCTTTGGCCGTTGGGGTCCTTTCCCAGACTCGGAGGCAATAAAGCAGCCATGCTGCTTCTGGATGGAATTCTTCCTCACTTCCGCCCCCCAGCGCAGGCCAAGCCCTCCTGAGTCCCTCACTTCCTCCCCAGCCCAGGCCACACCCTCCTGAGCTCTGGCACGCCCTACTGAGCACAGGCCACGCCCCCTGGGCACAGGCCACGCTCCCTGACGGTCCTGACTCTTATTGCAGCCCTCCATGTAGTTCTCGAGGTTTCCCTCCTCCCCTTCCTCCTGCCTCTGCCAGGCCTGGCAATTTCTTGGCGCCCAGCCCAGAAACTCCAGGCTTTTCCCTTTCTTCCCTGCCTTCCCCTTCAGCACCACATCCTGTTCCTTTCCAAGGAACAAGGGGACTTTTATTTTGGAGGGGGGTTGTGGAGTTCTGGCTGCTGGAGTGACGTGGACATTTGACCCCTGCGAGCTTCCTGGCTGGCAGGGAGAGCAGCAGGCCCAGGCGCTGATGGCAGAGAACTGTGGATGTGAGTTCGTCCTCTGGGGAACACGGGGAGAGGTGTGGGGACCCGGGGTGGGGGGGCTTCGATTGCTTTTTGGAGCCCCCCCGGATGTCCCACCATGCCCTGGGGTGGGGGTTGCAGGGCCCTGCCACAAGCCTGGAAAGACAAGGTGAGGGGCTGATGTACTGGTGGGGGCAACAGCAGCCTGGCCCTGGGGTGGCCGGATGTTCCTCAGCTCTTCCCCACTTCCTGCTTCCGGCCTTCTCTTCCAGGAAACGGGGAGCATCATGGGAAGGATGCGATCCTGGGCGCCATGTTGGTCAGGAGAGGGCCTGGAGGGAGGGGGAGTCCTCCCATCCCTCCTCCCATCCACCCATCCATCCATCCACCCATCCATCCACCCATCCATCCACCCACCCATCCACCCAACCATCCATCCACCCACCCATCCATCCATCCATCCACCCATCCACCTATTCATCCACCCATCCATCCACCCATCCATCCATCCATCCATCCACCCATCCACCTATTCATCCATCCATCCATCCATCCACCCACCCATCCACCCATCCACCCATCCATCCATTCATCCATCCACCCACCCATCCATACATACACCCACCCACCCATCCATCCATCCACCCATCCATCCATCCACCCACCCATCCATCCATCCACCCATCCACCCATCCATCCATCTACCCATCCACCCATCCATCCATCCACTCATCCACCCATCCACTCATCCATCCAACCATCCATCCATCCACCCATCCATCCATCCATCCATCCACCCATCCACCTATCCATCCAACCATCCATCCATCCACCCATCCATTCACCCATCCATCCATCCATCCACCCATCCACCTATCCATCCATCCATCCACCCATCCATCCACCCATCCACCCCTCCTCCTCCTCTCTCTCCTCCTCAGGTCGCACAGCAGCTGCGCAGCCCCACCCCTCGCCTTCCTCCTCCTCCTCCTCCCCCCTGTCCCCTGCGCAGGCCCCGCCCCCTCGCGCCCCAACTTCCTGCTGCTCTTGGCCGACGACCTGGGCCTGGGCGACCTGGGCAGCTTCGGGAACCGCAGCCTGCGGTGAGCAGAGGGGGAGGCCCGGATGTAGGGCCTTAGTTACCCGGATGTGGGAGCTCAGATCCCTGGATGTTCCACCAGGAGAACTGTATAGACATCTAGTAACTCAGTTCCCCGGATGTTGGATGTTAGTATCGTGGATGTTGGATATCAAATCCCTGGATGTTGGATCTTAGTGCCCCGGATGTTGGATATCAGGTCCCCGGATGTTACATGTTAGTACCCCGGATTTGAAGACCAGGTCCCCGGATGTTGGAGACCAGGTCCCCGGATGTTGGATCTTAATGCCCCGGATGTTGGATATCAGGTCCCCGGATGTTAAATCTTAATACCCCGGATGTGGGAAATCAGGTTCCCGGATGTTGGACTTCAGTTCCCTGGATGTTGGATGTTAGTACCCCGGATGTTGGAGACTAGGTCCCCGGATGTTGGATGTTAGTGCCCTGGATGTTGGATATCAGGTCCCTGGATGTTAAATCTTAGTACCCCGGATGTGGGAGATTATGTCCCCAGATATTGGACTTCAGTGCCCCAGATGTAGGAGCTCAGGTCCCCAGATGTTGGAGGTTAGTGCTCCGAATGTGGGAGCTCAGGTCCCCGGATGTTAGCTATTAGTACCCTGGATGTTGTAGCTCAGTGCCCCGGATGTTGGATCTTATTCCTCTGGATGTAGGAGCCCAGGTGCCTGGATGTTAGATCTTAGTGTCCTGGATGTTGGATATCAGGTCCCCGATGTTAGATGTTAGTACCCCGGATGTTGGATATCAGATCCTCGGATGTGGGATGTTAGTGCCCTGGATGTTGAAGGACAGGTCCACGGATGTTAGATCTTAATGCCCCGGATGTGGGAAATCAGGTTCCCGGATGTTAGATGTTAGTGCTCCGGATGTTGGAGATCAGGTCCCCGATGTTGGAGATCAGGTCCCCGGATGTTGAATCTTACTGCCCTGGATGTTGGATATCAGGTCCCCGGATGTTACATGTTAGTACCCCAGATGTTAGAGCTCAGTTCCCCGGATGTTCCACCAGGAGAACTGTATAGACATCTAGTGGACCTCAGGTCCCCGGATGTTGGATGTTAGGTCCCCGGATGTTGGAGTTCAATTCCCAGGATGTTAGATCTCAGTTCCCTGAATGTTGAAGATCAGGTCCCCGGATGTTGGATATCAGATCCCTGGATGTGGGATGTTAGTGCCCCGGATGTTGGAGATCAGGTCCTCGGATGTTAAATCTTAGTATAACCCAGATGTGGGAAATCAGGTTCCCAGATGTTAGATGTTAGTACCCCAGATGTTGGAGATCAGGCCCCCGGATGTTGGATATCAGATCCCTGGATGTTGGATCTTAGTGTCCCAGATGTTGGAGACCAGGTACCCAGATGTTTGAGCTCAGGTCCCAGAGGTTGGATCTTAGTTGTCCGGATGTAGGCCCTCAGGTCCCCGGATGTTGGGCCTTAGATCCCCGGATGTAGGAGTCCAGTCCACAGATATAGATCTTAGTACCCTGGATGTGGGATCTCAGGGCCCCAGATGTTGGACCTTAGATCCCAGGATGTTGGACCTCAGGTCCCCAGATGTTGGATCTTAGTATCCCGGATGTGGGATCTCAAGTCCCCGGATGTTGGATCTTAGATCCCCGGATGTGGGATCTCAGGGCCCTGGATGTTGGAGTTCAGCTCCTGGGATGTTGTGCATTAGATCCCCGGATGTTAGACCCCAGGTCCCCGTATGTTCTAGGCTGTGACTCAGTTTTCCTCTCCCCCCACAGCACCCCGCACCTGGACGGCCTGGCCCGGGACGGCGTGCGGCTGACCCAGCACCTGGAGGCAGCGTCCGTCTGCAGCCCGAGCCGTGCGGCCTTCCTGACGGGACGCTACCCTGTGCGCCTGGGTCGGTATGGGGGGGTGGGACATTTGGGGAATGGAGGGGGCGGTGGGGGGGAGGTGGGGGCGGGACATCCGGGGATCTGAGAGCCAACATCCGGGGGTACTAAGATCCAACATCCATGGACCTGATATCCAACATCTGGGGATCTGAGACCCAACATCGGGGATCTAAAGCCTAACATCCGGGGAACTGAGCACCAACATCCAGGGCACTGAGCTCTAACATCCAGGGACTTCATCTCTGACATCCAGTTACTAAGATCCAACATCCGGGGATCTGAGCACCAACATCCGGGGCACTGAACTCTAACATCTGGGGACCTTATCTCTAACATCCATTGTACTAAGATCCAACATCCGGGGATCTGAGGCCTAACATTCTGGGAACTGAACTCCAACATCCGAGGACCTGACATCCACCATCCGGGGTACTAAGATCCAACATCCGGGAACCTAAGCCCCAACATCCAGGGAACAGAGCTCCAACATCTGGGGATCTGAGGGCCAACATACTCGAATCTGAGCTCCAATATCCGGGGTTGTAAGATCCAACATCCAGGGAACTGAGCTACAACATTTGGGTAACTGAAGTCCAACATCTGGGGTCCTGATATCCACCATACAGGGCACTGAACTCCATCATCCGGGGATCTGAGGGCCAACATCCGGGATACTAACATCAAACATCCGGGGACCTGAGGTCCAACATCCAGGGAACTGAGGCTCAACATCTAGGGCACTGAGGTCCATCAGAGGGAGGGGAGGGCTACTCTGAGGATCTCAGGTTCAAATTCCTGAGACTCTGGGACTTCCCCCCTGAAACGCCAGGAAACCGGAAGTGATGCCATATTGGTTTCCCCCGGGGGCTCACAGGGCTGGGGTCCTTTCCACCCCGGGTGCGCAGGTCCCAGGCTATCCCAGACACAGCAGGCCTTCCCCCTGAAGGTGCTAGATACTCCCTCCTGACCCGGGACGCCATCATCACTGACCTAGGGTCCTTCTCCTCTCTCTTGGAAGGCATGGTGACCACCAACGGGGCGCGCGTGCTGCAGTGGGCAGCCGTGTCGGGCGGGCTGCCCACCTCCGAGATCACCTTCGCCAAGATCCTGCAGGAGCAGGGATATGCCACCGGCCTCATAGGTAAGAAAGAAGTCATCCATCCACCCATCCATCTATCCACCCATCCCCCATCCATCCACCCATCCATCCATCCATCCGCCCATCCATCCATCCATCCATCCATCCACCCATCCATCCATCCATCCATCCATCCACCCATCCACCCATCCATCCATCCATCCACTCATCTATCCATCCATCCACCCATCCACCTATTCATCCATCCATCCATCCATCCACCCACCCATTCCCCTATTCATCCATCCATCCATCCATCCACCCACCCATCCACCCACCCAACCATCCACCCACCCATCCATCCACCCATCCATCCACCCATCCATTCACTCATCCATCCATCTCTTCCCCTCCAGGCAAATGGCACCTGGGCCTCAACTGTGAGTCCCCCACTGACCACTGCCACCACCCCCTGAACCACGGGTTTGACTCCTTCTTCGGGGTCCCCTTCACCCTGATGGGGGACTGCCTGCAAGCGGAGCCCTCGGAGAAGCGAGCGCGTCTGCAAGGGCCCCTGGACCTGGGGGCTCAGCTGCTGCTGCTTTCCCTGCTCTGCCTGGCCGCTGGGAAGGTCACGGGCCTGCTGGGCCTGCGCTGGGTGCCCTGGGTGCTGGGCCCCGGATGTGGGGCCTTGCTCCTGGCCTGCACCTCCCGCCTCCTGGGTATCTTCATCGTCCATGCTGACTGCTTCCTGATGAGGGATCACCAGGTCGTCCAGCAGCCTCTGAGGTTTGAGGCCAGCGCGGGGCTCTTCTTGCGGGAGGCTGAGGCCTTCATCCACAGGTCAGCCTGGGGTCGGGGAGGGGGACCAATTCCATCTACTAGATCTCTATAGTCAACTGGTAGACCTTAGATCCCTGGATGTACATCCAGTAGATCTCTATAGACATCTGGTAGACCTCAGGTCCCCGGATGTTCCATCTAGTAGATCTGTAGAGACATCTGGTAAACCTCAGATCAGACCATGATCGATTATTGGTAGTATTGATCAGATCATGATCGATTATTGGTAATAACTGATCAGATGATGTTCGATTATTGGTAATAACTGATCAGCTCATGTTCAATTATTGGTATTATCGATCAGATGATGTTCGATTATTGGTATTATCGATCACATCACAATCGAATATTGGTATTATTGATCAGATCCTGTTCGATTATTAGTAATATCTGATCAGCTCATGTTCTATTATTGGTCATATCGATCAGATGTTTGATTATTGGTAATAACTGATCAGATCTGTTTGATTATTGGTAATAACTGATCGGATCACGATTTTGGTATTTTTGATCAGATCACTATTGATTATTGGTATTATCGATCAGATCATGATCGATTATTGGTATTATCGATCAGATCAGGATCGATTATTGGTAATATCTGATCAGATCAGGATCAATTATCGATCATCTGATCGATTATTGGCAATACCTGATCAGGTCGGTTATCAGTGAGGTTATTGATGGTGGGGGCGGGGTCTGACGTGGATCCGCAGGCACCAGGCCCGCCCCTTCCTCCTCCTCGTCTCCTTCCTCCACGTCCACGTCCCGCTGGTCACCTCACCTGCCTTCCGGGGCCGCAGCGCGCACGGCGCCTACGGCGACAACGTGGAGGAGCTTGACTGGATGGTGGGTGAGTGCGGGGGGGCAGGAACTGAGGCATGGTGCGTGGGATGGGGGAAACAGAGGCACGGGGGTGGGGTGAGCAGGATAGGGAAACTGAGGCATGGGGACGGGGTGAGCGGGATGGGGAAACTGAGGCACAGGGGTGGGGTGAGTGGGTTGGGGGAAACTGAGGCACAGAGATGGGGTGAGCGGGATGGGGGAAACTGAGGCATGGGAACGGGGTCAATGGGTTGGGGTAAACTGAGGCACGGTGCATTTGGGTAAACTGAGGCACGGGGACGGGGTCAGTGTGTTGGGGATAAACTGAGGCATGGGGTTTGGGTAAACTGAGGCATGGTGCATTTGGGTAAACTGAGTCACTGGGCATGTTGGGGGTAAACTGAGGCACGGTGCACTTGGGTAAACTGAGGCACGGTGCATGTTGGGTAAACTGAAGCACGGTGCATGTTCAGGGTGAACTGAGGCACGGTGCATTTGGGTAAACTGAGGTACGGTGGATGTGGGTAAACTGAGGCCCGAGTATAGGGGTAAACTGAGGCACGGTGCATGTTGGGTAAACTGAGTCACTGGGTATTGGGGTAAACTGAGGCACGGTGTATTTGGGTAAACTGAGGCATGGTGCATGTTGGGTAAACTGAGTCACTGGGCATGTTGGGTAAACTGAGACATGGTGCATGTTGGGTAAACTGAGGCACGGGGACGAGGTGAGTGGGTTGAGTAAACTGAGGCACCGGGATGGGAGTAAACTGAGGCACGGGGACGGGGTCAGCGGGTTGGGGTAAACTGAGGCACGGTGCATTTGGGTAAACAGGCACGGTGCACTTGGGTAAACTGAGGCCCAAATATAGGGGTAAACTGAGGCACGGTGCATGTTTAGGGTAAACTGAGGCACGGTGCACTTGGGTAAACTGAGGCAAAGTGCATTTGGGTAAACTGAGGCACAGTGCATGTTGGGGGTAAACTGAGGCACAGTGCATTTGGGTAAACTGAGGCCCGGTGAGCGTTGGGGGTAAACTGAGGCACGGTGGGTGCCTGTTGGGTAAACTAAGTCACTGGGCATTGAGGATAAACTGAAGCACGATGGAAATTTGTAAACTGAGTCATGATGCATGTTGGGTAAACTGAGGCACTGTGGATGCTGGGGGTAAACTGAGGCACGGACCCATTTCCCCTCCACCCCCCCCCCCGCAGGGCGACTGCTGGCAGCGCTGGACGGTGCGGGGCTGGGGCGCCGCACCCTCGTCTACTTCACGTCGGACCACGGTGCCTCACTGGAGGCCCGGGCTGGGGGCGCCCGCCTCGGGGGTTCCAACGGCGTGCACCGAGGCGAGGGGGAAACTGAGGCAGGGTGGGCGGGGCCTCCCACGCAGCCCGACCCCGCCCCTTGACCTTTGCCCTCCGCCCCCCCATGCAGGTGGCAAAGGCATGGGCGGCTGGGAGGGCGGCATCCGGGTCCCTGGGCTGGTGCGCTGGCCCGGGACCCTGCCCGCAGGGCGCCTGGTGCCTGAGCCCACCAGCCTCATGGACCTGTTCCCCACCGTGGTGCGCCTGGCCGGGGGCTGGGTTCCAGCGGACAGGTAGGAGTTCGCCTGCCTGGGTCCCCACGGGGTGGAGGAGAAGGGGGGTCATCCGGGGCCTCGGGGATCCCGAGGGGGGGGAGGCTGAGGCCTGCACATCCGGGTCTCTGGTTGCTCAGAAGCCTGCACATCTGGGTCTTTGAGGGCTCAGGCCTTGACATCGGGTCTCTGGGGGCTCAGAAGCCTTTACATCCGGGTAACTAAGGGCTCAGGCCTGCAAATCTGGACCTCTGAGCACTCAGAAGCCTGGACATCTGGTTCTCTGAGGACTCAGGCCTTCATATCCGGGTCTCTAAGGCATCAGGGCTGCACATCCAGGTCTCTGAGTACCTAGGCCCAGGTCTCAGGCCTGGACATCCAGGTCTCTGAGGGCTCAGGCCTGCACATCCGGGACTCTGGGATCTCAGGCCTGCACATCCGGGTCTCTGAGCGCTCAGAAGCTTGGATATCTGGGTCTCTGAGGCCTCAGGCCTGCACATCCAGGTCTCTAAGACCAGAGGCCTGGGTCTTAGACCTGCACATCCGGGTCTCTGGGGGCTCAGAAACCTGGACATCTGGGTCTCTGGGATTTCTGGCCTGCACATCCGGGCCTCTGAGCGCTCAGAAGACTGCACATCCGGGTCTCTGAGTGTTCAGGAGCCTGGACATCCGGGTCTTGAAGGCCTCAGAAGCCTGCACATCCAGGTCTCTGAGGGCTCAGAAGCCTGCACATCCGGGTCTCTAAAGGCTCAAGCCTTGACATCCAGGTCTCTGGGATCTCTGGCCTGCACATCCGGGTTTCTGGGGGCTCTGGCCTGCACATCCGGGTCTCTGAGTGCCCAGAAGCCTGCACATCCGGGTCCCGCAGGGAGGTGGACGGCCGGGACCTGATGCCCGCGCTGCTGGGGACGGCGCTGGCCGCAGGCCACGACTTCCTGCTGCACTACTGCGAGGCCCGGCTGCACGCCGTGCGCTGGTTCGACCGCCCAAGTGAGTGCCTCGACCTCAGTTGGGCCCTGGGGCGGGGGAGGGAGCTGCATGCATGCGCGCAGGGACCCGGATGCAAGGCCTGGGGGTGGGAGACCCGGATGTGGGAATCCCTGGATGTGGGAATCCTGGGATGTGAGGACCTGGATGGAAGGCATGAGATGGGAATCCCCGGATGTAAGGTCCCGGATGTGAAGTCCCCGATGGGAATTCCCGGATGTGAGGTACTGGATGAGAATCCCTGGATGTGAGGCCCCGGATGTGAGGTCCCAAATGGGAATCCCTGGATGTGAGGTCCCAGATGAGAATCCCCGGATGTGAGTCCCCGGATGTGAGGTCCCACATGTGAATGCCCGGATGTGGCCCCCCCCGGATGTGAATCCCCGGATGTGAAGCCCCAGATGTAAGGTTCTGGATGTGAGGTTCCGGATGTGAATTCCCGGATGTGAGGTCCTGCATGTGAATCCCCGGATGTGAGGTCCTAGATGGGAATCCCCGGATGTGAATACCCAGATGTGAAGTCCTGAATGGGAATCCCTGGATGTAAGGTCTTGCATGTGAATGCCCGGATGCGAATCCCTGGATGTGATGTCCTGGATGTGAATTCCCGGATGGGAATCCCCGGATGTGAGGCCCCGGATGTTACTCCCCCACCCCCCGCAGGCCACACGGTGTGGAAGCTGCACTTCGCCACTCCACGCTTCGACCCGCCGGGCTCGGGCACCTGCCTCGGTTTCCCTGCCTGCGCCTGCTCGGGGCGGCGAATGACCCGCCACCGGCGGCCACTGCTCTTTGACCTGACGGCGGACCCAGGGGAGACTCGCCCGCTGCAGGGCCCGATGGCGACGCGCAGGCGCGTGGAGGCCGCGGTGGCCCGGATGCTGCGCATGCGCCGCCCCCTCGCGGCCCCGCCCCTCGCCCCTGCACACAACACCTGGAGCCCGCGCCTGCAGCCCTGCTGCTCGCCCGGACCGCTCTGTGCCTGCGACCACCTGATCCCCGACCTCTGACCCCGACCCGACCCCCAACCACCAACTTCCCTGGGGCTATGGCAGATCCTGGCCTGCGCCTCTCACATCCGGGGACTCACATCCGGGTATTAAACATCTGGGTATACTCAAATACAGAAATTCCCACATCCGGGGATTCCCACATACAGACTCTCACATCCAGGGATTCCTACATCCGGGGATTCCTACATCCGGGGATTCTCACATCCGGGGATTCTCACTTCTGGTGACACATCCGGGGATTCCCGGGGATGTATTTACACATCTGGGGAATCCTACATCCGGGGACTTTTACACCCGGGGATTCTCACAACCAGAGACTCTCACATCCGGGGACTTTTACATCCGAGGATTCTCACATCCAGAGACTCTCACATCTGGGGATTCCTACATACAGACTCTCACATCCAGAGATTCTCACATCCGGGGAGTCTCACATCCGGAAATTCTCACATCCAGAGATTCTCCCATCCAGAGATTCCCACATCCAGGGATTCTCATATCCGGGGATTCCCACATCCGGGGATTCTCAGACCAGGGAATTCCCACATCTGGGGAAATCTCACACCCGGGGATTCCCACATCTGGGGATTCTCGCATCCAGGGATTCTCACATCTGGGGATTCCCACAGCCGGGGATTCTCACATCCGGGGATTCCCACATGTAGAGATTCCTACATCCGGGGATTGTCACATCCAGGGACTTTTACATCCAGAGACTTTCACATGCGGGGATTCTCACATCTGGGGAACTCTTACATCCGGGGATTTTCACATTCAGAGAGTCTCACATCTGGGGATTCTCAGACCCAGGGATTCCCACATCCGGGGACTCTCACATCCTGAGCCTCTCATCCTGGACCTCCACCTTGGTCCTCCCATCCGGGGCCTTTTCCCAGCCTCCCATCCGGGGCCCTCTCACATCCGGGCCTATGTCCTCTAACTTCTCACACAATAAAACCTCATGAGCACCGCACCGCACGGCAGGGTCAGGGGTCACCGGGGTCAGAAGCCGGGCACTGGTCCTGCCTTCCATTTCAGGTCATTTCCGGTTGATGCTAGGATACAGGGCTGGTCCCCCCTTCCATTTCAGGCCACTTCTGGTCGTTGCTAGGGTATAGGACTAGTCTCACCTTCCATTTCAGGTCATTTCCAGTCATTGCTAGGGTATAGGACTACTCCCACCTTCCACTTCAGGTCATTTCCGGTCATTGCTAAGGTATAGGACTAGTCCCACTTTCCATTTCAGGCCACTTCTGGTCATTGCTAGGGTATAGGACTGGTCCCGCCTTCCATTTCAGAACATTTCCGGTCGTAATACAGGGCTGGTCCCACCTTCCATTTCAGGTCATTTCCGGTGGTTGCTAGGGTATTGGACTAGTCCCGCCTTCCATTTCAGGCCATTTCCGGTGGTTGCTAGGGTATTGGACTAATCCAACCTTCCATTTCAGACCATTTCCAGTGGGTTGCTAGGATACAGGCTTGGTCTTGCCCTCCTCTAGGACATCCCACCACCTAGATTCACACCTGATTGGCCTATTCCATGAAAGCCCTGCCCTCACTTTCCTAATTCACTTGTCATTGGTCCAGCTGTAAGACATGCCCTTTAGCCCCCCCACAAATCCAACTCGCTGCTGATTGGACCTCACACGACAGTCCTGCCCCTAACTACCTGAACTCGGATTCAGATTGGCCCAGCGGGATTGGAGAAGTGGGGTACCCGGATGTTGGCCCACTCTAAGGGGGGTCGGTGGTTGGGTGGATGGATGGGTGGATGACCAGGCCTGCGACCTCTTCCCCTTCTGTGCCTGTCCCAGGGGACCCCAATGACCTCTCCAGGGATTGACCCAGATGGGCCTATAGCTCCTTATGGCGGTAGGATAAGTCGAGGTTGGAGGTCTGTGTCTCCCTAGGCCTAGGATGCATTGCACCTGCACGACATCCGGGTCTTCTCTGGAGGGAGGGACCCATTGGCTTCCCCGGGGACTCCTCCAGCCACGCCCCTGCTCTGATTGGCTGACACGCCTGTCTCTCCATCCTTTGGCCCTGCCCAGGGAAGCTGGGGGTCCGGTCCCGCCTCTTCCTTGGGTGATATTGAAAGGCAGGGCATGCTGTCCATCATCCCTGGGTCCCGCCCCCTGCCAAGCCAATAGCTGGAGAGTCGATATGTGTGAAGCCACGCCTCTTCGTGGCTAGCTCTATGAATGCTGTGGGTGCCCATCACCCAGAAGTCCCGCCCACTAGTGAATGTATGGGCTCAGGGGCTGTCCTTCACTTCCAGGTCCCGCCTCCTGGCTGTTGGAAGGCCACAGGGGCTGTCTGTCTCTTCCAGGTCCCGCCCTCTGGCTGTTGGAAGGCCATAGAGGCTCTCTGTCACCTCCAGGCCCCGCCCAATGGCTGTTGAAAGGCCACAGGGGCTGTCTGTCTCCTCCAGGTCCCGCCCCCTGGCTGTTGTGTGGACATTTGTCCTGTCTGTCACCTTCAGACCACGCCCCCTTGTTGTATAATCATGTGTCCTATCTGTCATCTTCAGGCCACGCCCCTTGTATTATCAAGTGTCCTGTCAACTTCAGGCCACGCCCCTTGCAATTAGATGGCGTGACATAAGTGTCCATGAACAGGGACAGGAAGTGCCCCTAGTCAAGACCAGAAGTTCTTGTATACTAGGGACCGGAAGTCCCCATAGTCAAGACCAGAAGTTGTTATATACTAGGGACTGGAAGTCTCCACAGTCAAGACCAGAAGTTCCTACACACTAGGGACCGGAAATGCCCTTCCCATCAGGACCGGAAGTTTCTATATACTAGGGACCGGAAGTCCCCAGTCAGGACCAGAAGTTCCTATATACTAGGGACTGGAAATCTCCACAGTCAAAACCGGAAGTCCCCATAGTCAATACCAGAAGTTCTTATACACTAGATACGGGAAGTTCCTCTACACTAGGGACTGGAAGTGCCCTTCCAATCAGGATGGGAAGTTCCTATACACTAGGGACCGGAAGTGTCCTTCCAATCAGGACCAGAAGTTCCTGTACACTTGGACCGGAAGTCCCCATAGTCAAGACCAGAAGTTATATACTAGGGACTGGAAGTCTCCACAGTGAAGACCGGAAGTTCTTACACACTAGGGACCGGAAGTCCCCATAGTCAGGACTGGAAGTTCCTATACACTAGGGACTGGAAGTCCCCAGTCGGGACCGGAAGTTGTTATATACTAGGGACCGGAAGTTCCCAATCAGGACCGGAAGTTCCGATACTCTGGACCAGAAGTTCACATACTGTCAGGAGCGGAAGTTCTCATGCAGACCGGAAGTCCCAATACACGCCTGGGCCCAGATCAGGAGGGGACCGGAAGTGGGGCGGCTGAGGGGGCGGGACTTACCCTGGAGGGTATCCGTGGATCACGTGTTCGTCACCAGCACCTGGGGTGGAGGGGGAGGAGAGACGCAGCCCTGGGAGCTCAGCCTCCACATCCGGGTCCTTACATCCGGGTCCCTACATCAGGGTACCCACATCCAGGTCCCTACATCTGTGATCCCATGTCTGGGTCCCTACATCCGGGTCTCTACATCCAGGAATCCACACTGGGGTCTCCACATCCGGTCTCTACATCCAGGTCTCCACACTGGGGTCTCCACATCCGGGTCTCTACATCCAGGTCTCCACACTGGGGTCTCCACATCTGGGTCTCTACATCCAGATCTCCACACTGGGGTCTCCACATCCGGGTCCATAAATCCGGGCCTCCACACTGGGTTCCCTACATCCGGGCCTCTACATCCAGGCCTCTCCATCCCCAGCCTCCACATCCGGGCCTCCCCCCTTCCATGTCCTCACCTCCTGTGCCTGGCGGGGGTTGGGGCTGGGGTGGAGGCTGGCGTCGGGAGGTAGATGTCTGCGGGAAGAGAGCGAGGGAGGATGGAGGCCGGCCTCTCCCCTCCCCTTACCCCCCTCCTTCCCCTGACCCCTGGCTCCCCCTGACCCCCCCTGACCCCGCTCACCTCCTTCCCGACCCGGAGGTCACGGCCTGGGCGGGTCAGGCAGCTGCGGGTACAGCCCTATGTGCCAGGAGTGGGCCGTGCCTCAGTTTCCCCACCCTGGGTGGGCCTGGTGTGTGTGTGGGAGGACCCCACTCATCCGAGATGGGCTTCGGGGTGGGATCTGTGGGCGAAGAGAGAGAGGGTGGTGACCCCTGACCTCCCCTGACCCCCCCCAACCCCTGATCCCAAGGCCTCAGGGGGTGGCAAAGGGTCACATGGGATTCAGGCCCACAGCTGGATCAAGGCCCCATGTGAGGCCTAGTGGCCAGGGTGAAGCCATGGGGGGGGAAAGGTGAGAGGTCAGGACTCACCGGGGTCATCCAGGGCGTCGGCGAGGTCAAAGTCGGCCTGGCCTGAGGGGGAAAGAGGACAGTTGTTGGGGACAGACGTATGGATGGGGAGACAGATAGACACAGAAACGAACAGACAGACCGAGAGGATGACACACGGACAGACAGACAGGCAAGGGATGGACAGATGATCAAGACAGGACAGACAGATGGACAGACAGAAGAAGCAGATGGACAGCCAGGTGGACAGACAGACCAAGAGGCAGACAGACAGAGAGGAAGACAGATGGACAGAGAGGAGACAGACAGACAGACACAGGACAGACAGACCCAGACAGAGAGACTGAGAGGCAGATGGACAGACAGACAGACAGACCAAGAGGATGACACATGGACAGATAGACAGACAGACAGAGCCAGAGACAGATGGACAGATAGACAGACAATGAGACAGACAGAGAGGAGATGGACAGACAGAAACATGGACACACACACATGGACAGACAGGGGCCCAGACACAGACTGACCTGCAGACAGACAGAGACAGACAGATGCAGAGACTGAGGGACAGACAGACAAACAAGGGATGGACGGATGACCAAGACCGGATGGACAGACAGACAGGAGAAGCAGATGGACATCTAGGTGGACAGACAGACCAAGAGGAAGACAGACAG